TTAAAACACTTGAAAAAGTGAAATAATTTGAACATTTATAAAACGAATAATTTTATTCGTTTTAATATTCATTTAAAGAGTTTGATTAGTTGAAAAGTTTGAACAATTTAAATGTTTACAAAGTGGAGAATAAATGGAACACCTAAAAAATGGAAGATATATGTAGCGTTTAAACAATTGACAAATTAATCATTTGAGAACTGCAATGTTGATGGAATATTTTTAAAAATTTGTGAACTTCAAAACGAGGATATTGAAAATTTGTTGACTTGAGAATTTGAAAATTTGCAAGTATAACACTTTAAATTTTTAAAACTTAGAAACTTGGGAACTTTGAAATTTTTAAATTTAGAAACTTAAAAGCATTGGAACTTGAGAACTTTGAAATTTGAATGTATTAAAATTTGAGAACTTTAAAACTTGAGACCTTTAAAACTTGAAAATTTTGAAACTTGAAAGCATAGAGACTTGAAAGCATTGAAACTTGAGAACTTTGAAATTTGAAAGCATCGAAACTTGGAAGCATTGAAACTTGAGAACTTTGAAATTTGAATATATTAAGACTTGAGAACTTTGAAACTTGAGAACTTGAAAATTTGAGACCTTTGAAACTTGAAAATTTTGAAACTTAAAAGCTTTGAAACTTGAAAGCATAGATACTTGAAAACATTGAAACTTGAGAACTTTGAAATTTGAAAGCATCGAAATTTGGAAGCATTGAAACTTGAAAGCATAGAGATTTGAAAACATTGAAACTTGAGAACTTTGAAATTTGAAAGCATTGAGACTTGAAAACATTGAAACTTGAGATCTTTGAAATTTGAAAACATCGAAACTTGGAAGTATTAAAACTTGAGAACTTTGAATTTTGAAAGCATCGAAACTTGGAAACTCTGAAACTTGACACCATTAAAATTTGAGAACTTTAAAATTTGAAAACTTAGAAATGTAGACATTTGGAATTTTAGAAATTTAGAAATTCAGAAATTCATAAAATCGGAAATTCGAAAATTGAAAATGTAGAAATGTTGTAATTTGAAAAGTTTGAAATAAAATTCAAAAAATTGTGAATTTTCGGAAACTTGGACGTTTAAAAAGTCAAATATTTTAAAAAAAAAATTAGACATATATTTAGATATATAAAATTATATTCTAAATCTTAGAATCGGTCAATTTCTACATTTACAAATTCGAAAATTTGAATAAATACGAATTTAGAAATCTAGTACCGTATAAATCTTTAAATACAAGAATTAGCTACACCCGAATTTACATATTCAAAGTTACGTGAACTCACGTTATGTCATATCGCACGATTCGAAGACCCTATACCCAGTTTCCACCGCCCACTTTATCCGCTACAATCTGTTTCTTATCGAAGAATCCGTCATTACCGATTGACCAACTCAACAATGAAAAAAAAGGAAGACGAAAATAACCCGTTCACATTAAGATCGAAAGATAACATCGCAGATACCACGCACGATAGTAGTGTCGTGTCAGAGTTAATTGCATCACAGCCGTCGAGGTTGAAATGCAACGGCGGTAAATATTGAACGATATCGAAAGTCGGTCGCCTGACACGTGTACATTTTGTTTCGTGATTCGAAGAAGCATCGATCGAAAGAAATTCAACGATAAACGGTGAAGTCGAAGAGCGATCGAATGTTTGCGATGTCTCTGGTCATATCGCTCTCGGTTGCGTCTGATAAAACGAACGCACGTATCTCGCCTGCACCGCGAAATCTATTCCGAAATCCGTAATAATTAACGAAATATAATTTTGAAGTATTTTTCGTAAACCGCGATAAGTTACGATAACACGATTTATCGCGGGGAGGTGCTGTTTAACTCGCGAAAACAAGTCTCATTAACGGAGTACGTTCGCTAAGGAAAACAAGAGATAGGTTTACTTCATTCTTTCCTTCTTTTTTTATTGCGTGTTTACCTCTTTCTTCTTCTTGCGTAAAGGTCACGGCAATTAATTCCATTATGGTTCGTTATGTTTCGAATATTGTCTTATACCACGTATGGGCTTTTGTGAAATACGCGAGGGGATTACAAAGGATTTTAATAAAATTTACAGAATTTTTAAATTTACAAGTGTAATCTTGTTAGGGTAACAGAAATAATAAATTAAACTTGTATTATTACGAAATTACTTTTAAATATATTTTGACAGAAATAAATAATTACCCTAACGTTCAATGATATTAGAAGTCAAAATTTCTAATCTTCCATCAAGCCAAGTACCAAAATTGCAAAAATTTGAAACTTTCTGAAATGCTTACATTCTAAAGGGCCAAAGCCTTAGAAGTATTTTAAGCGCCAAATTTAACAAGTTTCAAAGTTTCAAAGCCTCAAGTTTCTGAACTTATATCCAAAAATTCTAAAATTTAAATATGCTAAAATTCAGAAATTCAAACGTCCTGAAATTCTAATATTTAAATATCTTGAAATTCTAAAATTTAAGTATCCTAAAATTGCAAAATTCAAATATTCTAAAATTCTAAAATTTAAATATCCTAAAATTGCAAAATTTAAATATCCTAAAATTCAAAAATTTAAATATCCTAAAATTCCAAAATTTGAACATCCTAAAATTCTAAAATTCAAATATCCTAAAACGGCAAAATTCAAAAATTTCAAAGTCCCAAATTATTAAAATTCTATGACCTCAACGTTTTAAATTTCCAATAATCTTAAATTATAAAATTCTGCACTTCCAAATTTATAAATAGTACATTTATAAAGAAACCTCATAAACATCTTCATTTATTCCGCCATCTTTAAACAGACTATCGTTCTGTTTACAAATCCAAAATAATACAAAAATATTACATAAAATGCGTAAAGTTTTGTAAATAAAACGTAATCTGATGAAACGAAAGTAAAAAAACAAATTATATACAGATATAATTATCTACTATTATCAACTGAATACATATTTTGTATGTCTGAGATATGCAATAATTTTCAAGGTTGAAGTTTTACGGTATCATAACACAAATTAGATGCAAATGATAAGTATTTTGAAATGTAATTTTGTGTATTTTAGTTTAAAACAATATATGTGCTTTTTATTAATAAATTATATTTGTGTGCACACATGTGCACTTGTAATTTATTACATATTCAATAATGTATAGATATATGCACATTGTAATGTACAGTATTATAAATTAATATTTATTACACATATACATATAGGTATACATATATATATGTATATATCACATATATTACATATATGTATATTACGTATATATTACATATATGTATATTACTTCATATAATTAATGTAAAATACTGTAAGTAACATTATGTAACATATAAAATATATTACATATAATTAATAATATATATAACATATATCTTAATTCGTATATACAAATTATAATACCATGTGTGTTAATTTATAACATTATAAATCATAATGGAAGTATAATTCATTTATAACTTTGAATAAAGAAGTTCAGTATTATAATGTACTCGTAAATGAATTTGTAATATATTAATGTAGCATATCAATTTTATTTAATAGTATATTAATAATATATTAATTTATAACATGCACGTACAGACATATATTAACATCGACCAATTAATTACTCAAGTTACACAAGATAAACAAGTTGATACTTTTTGTAACAACTTTATCGTTCCTTTTCTTACAAATAGGCACAAATATTGTGAATTCAATCGTCAACTATCGAACTTAATCTTTCACCAGATAAAGCCGTATAACTTTGTTTGCAAAGACATCGATGATTTTAATTACTCCGAAAAAGTTTGACTTTGAAAATTTATCTTCGCGCCTCATTGACCCTGTGAAATCATTCAACTTTCATGTCAATTTTCGTCATATATATATCTCTAAACGCACATAAAACTTTTCGATATTCGATTTCTGATCATGTATGGTTTAATACTCTTTACGATTCTTTTTTGCAAGTAAATAGAATTTGTGCAATGTTCAATTAATAAACTGTCACTGTTAAATGTCATTCAAACAGTAATTTACAATTCCACCTATTTTATTTAAGAAAAGAAAATAATATGCTTTATAACTTTGACTAATCATAATTTAACTAATCATAATAGAAATCGGTATTTACATATTAGGGGTACCGAAAAGTAATCAAAATTTCTTCGATGATTTCAAAGCTTTTCTATGAAAAATCGAAGGACTTTTTTTAAGTAGGGAACAATTGTATTTACGCTGGCAAAAAGCGTTAGAAAGTGATGGAAATTATTTTGTTGATTTAAGATTTCTTTAATAAATAAATATTTTTCGCCAGCAAACAAAATTTTAATTACTTTTCGGTACCCCTAATATTAACATAATTTTATATATTTTATATGGACGTATAAAAAACTATTTCTATATACAGTTTTTCTGAAAGTATATTATATGTTTATAAAAATTGTTTATACAATACGTTCTTTACAAATTATTTTTAATGAATTCATCAAATAATTCCATACTATAGAATATTTAAATTTCACTTAAAACATAGTGCTGTTTACTATAAATTAATTAACAAATTCAGTATTGTTATCAATAATAGTTAGTCGACTTTTGAAAAATTCTTCGGAATCTAATAATAAATTACTCATTCTATAGTCACAAATATTTTGTCCTTCTAAAAAATCCCGAATTTACTTCAATCAAATAAGTATCAATGCAGTTTACAAAATTATTTTGTAGATTAAAAATGCGAGATTAAAAGTATTCAAATCTTTTAAGCATATTTAATCTCATTCCAAATACTCCCGTCTCTCGCACATCAGCTATCACAATACAATTCTCGCCATCAATCAAATGTTTTTGCACAAATCTCTTCAAACACCGTCGCGAAAATGGAAACGTCAAAGATCTTATTATGTTGAAGCGTAAAATGTTTGAGGAAAAGAGATCCTACGTTCCAACCACGCATTAATAACATATATCGCGAGCTTTTTGTTCAGAAAACTAAGAGGAAGAAACTGATTTTCAGATTCGTCGACGGGGAATGTGGTTCCAGCAGCGGTGACAGTACAGGCCAATTAGAACTAAGCGGCGGTGAACAACCGGAAGAGGCATCCCCGGCATCGATGCACGAAACCAACAACAATAGTTTGCTTCACGAAGATTTAGAACGCAGGATACCGTAGCTCGCTCGATTGTACGTAAAATCGATCGATCCTCGTTGGATTGAATGAAAATTCCATAAATCGTATTCGTGACAACAGTCTTCTTTCGATCGATCACGAGCAAAGAAATGCGAATGAATCTCGTGAGAAGAAAAGAAAAAAAGAAGCGAAGAACGAGAAGATATTAAGACTTGATCGAATCCGATGGAAGAATAAGGAAAGAGGATCGGTGAAGGGGAGAGGGAGGGGAAGGTAGAGAGAACTAATAGAGAATCGTCGTCGCAAAAGTAGTCGTTGAACAACCGTTCGAGATTTATCGAAGAAGATGCAATTCGGCTTTTACGAAATGATCCGTCCAAGGTCGACCTCTGGAGATCTTTCGAAGGCCAACGAGGCGTGAGGTTGACAGAGAAAGAAAAAAAGACTGACTTCACGGCCAGTCAGGCTGGAAGATTCTCTTCTCTTTTTTTTTCTCTCGCGTGGTCTTTTTATCGTATTTTTTTTTTTTTTTGCTTTTCTGGTGACATTGGACCGTTACCTTGAAACGCGACGCAGATATTAAACCGTCGATCCAGGGCTGCATTTACAATTAGGCTAATAGCCTAACATATATTAATAATTCTTTTTTATAAATATAAAATTCAGCTGAAAACATTTGCAAACGAAATGCAATTATTCTTATGATATTATTGTCCTATAGTGTACAGGGTGTGCCAATAAAACGTATGGCACTTTATTGTGAAATCAATGAGTTTTAGTGCCGATCGAAAGAATTATATCTGAACAAAGGATACTGAGTCCAAAAGAAACTAAAAGACTTCAGTAGGGCTTCAGGAAATTAGTCACAATATTTGAAAATTTCAGTGACGAGTCACTGAATGAATTAAGTAGCAATTTTAAAATGAATATTTTAAATGATCATCATACTATTTTTGCCATCTTTAATATCTTCGCACATTAGCACACCCTGTATTTCTCCTGTTTCCAGGTGTTTTTGAAATTGCAGAAAGCACCAGAATTGAAGGCCCTGGTCGATTTCTTCGCCGCGAATTTAAAGTCCGCCATGTTTGATGACCGATATGTCAATCACGTGCCAAAGGTGAACAGCCAGAACATAATACAAAGAATATTTATATTATTCGAATATTTCGAATAATTGTTTATTCGAAGCACGCACGAAACGTTCACGCCTCGATTGCTTTCAATATGGAGGATCTCGAGGTCGACGCCGAAAGATCGGATCGCATCCGCAACGGTAATGATCAGTGCGACGCGAAAGTTTGAGAAACTGTGATAGAATTTCGTATTAGAACCTCGTTCCGCATCGTCCTGCGCGCGACACTGTACTACGTAAATACTTTTGTTTTTTCTTTGTGGTAATTGTCCACGGTCTGCGAGCTGGATAGCCAAGAATCGTTGTTGGAGATGTTCACCGCCGAACAAGACGACTGGCCGACAATAAAAAAAGAAACGGTAAAAGGAAACGTGGAAGTGATCGCGGAAATGAAAATCCGGTTCGTTCTATGCGACCTAAATATCAAACGGAGAATAACTTTAATTACCCTGTAATTGTAATTATGATATCAAGTTACGGTTGCGAGCCACAGCTTACACTTCATACCTGACACACTTTGGATCGTATTCGTAAGTACCACGGTCGAGTTTTTAAATGTACTTTTTCTGCGTTTGCCTTAAGATGACGCCAGCGGACGGGCAGCATTAGTTATAGAACTTATAAGTTTGATGACTTCTCAAACTTATTAGTAATTCTCTAGGGAATAAGAAACTGTGTCCACGTTTTTAATTAATTATCATTATACTGATCTGAACAGAAAGACACAGAAGGAATATAATGGCGGGAAATTCAAATCAAATTTATAGAAATTTTCATGATAGAATGATTAAATATATTTTTGTAGATGATGAAATAAGAATCTTTACAGAATCAGTCTTAATCTTGGTTCAACTTTTTTGTATTTTAGTTTTGATGTTTTTATGAGAACTAATTTTTATCGAGTAACTCAAAAAGTTTTTTCCGTTTCAAAAAAGATTAAATGATATAATTCAATTAGTAAAAGTTTTTTTTCATTAATGGAATAATGCTTTTAAACTTTCTTATAGTTTAATATTTCTTGCGTCTTTTTATTAGTTATTATTCTCAAAATATATGTAGGAATAATGAAGATTAGATAATCTAGAAATGGCAAGAACTTTATTAGATAACATAGCGAAGTGACAAAATGAATGTATCAATTTAATATGGAATACTAAAATTTATTACAGCATTAATTTTCTTTATTCATTTTAATTGATAAAGAAATTATTATCGGTTTAATTTATATTTGATAAAAGTTGAGGTCAAACGTTGATTCAAGAAAAGAGTTATAAATGCATACTCAAAAATATTATTTAATTTTTGTCACAAAATTGATAATATAACAGAATAAATTGAAGCATTTCGTATAAATACTAAAATTTATTCTATTATATAATCAATGATAATAATAGTTGTAAATAGATAAAGACATTAATTTTGTTATTTTGTTATAAAATTTCGTTAACATACAAATGTTGAAATTAATATAAGATTAAAACTGATTCTATTGCAGATTAAATCAATAACAAACATCTATTTTATTAAGAATATTTATTTCACTATAACAGTTTTATTTATTCCACTATAACAATTCATCTTTGCATAAACAGATTTGAATTTTGCCGCTACTCAGTTCACATTCAGTTCAGATCAGTATGGCGGATATTTCAAAAATTCACTTAAAAATTAACGTTAAAAACTCTTTAATAAGAGTCAATAAAATAGTCAACAAAGTTAAATGACGCCATTTTCAATAAAATAGCGCGAAATTTAATTTATAAACAATGGTGTACTCCAATGTTATGTAAATAATAAATTTTATTCATTTTGTAGATATGAGTATTTTATTACAAACATTAGACAACTCCATTTATAATAAAAATTTTATTTCACGTTTTATTAAATATAAAATTTTAGTTTACAATTTATTTATTGTTATGCAGAAAGTGGAGTTGCCACATTATAATAAATTGCTCATATCTACAATCAAAATATTTTATTTATTCGTTATGTTTCTTATGTTATACTTAAGAATAACAAAACTGCAATGTTACATTTAAAAATAACAAATTTTTGCAGACAATTTTATTTTCAACTTACGGTTCCAAATGAGTAAAACCGTATTTTACACGAAAACTAAAAGACCCTTTTAATTACATTTTAATATCTATATCTACATTATTCGCAATTGTTATTTGTTTTTCTAATTGTTGATATATATAAGTGCCACTTTAATTATATTAAATGTTACTTTGATTATATAAAATTATATCAAACGTTACTTCAATGACATAGAATAATGTATTATTATTATTCGTCTCTATTCAACTTTTAAACACATCATTCTTTACGAATCAAATTTCGCGGTATTTTGCTAACAAATGGCGGCGCCTAAAGGAGTTATTTCGTGAATCAGCTTCGACAAACGTAAAATTAAAGGCAAATAATTAAGTTTTAAATACAATCTATGAAAGTTATTAGAATCACTGAAAGTTATTTCACCGAATAATTAAAATGTTCATAATTAATATATATCAAAAATTCTGTAAATGTCAGACGCGAAAATTTGTGCAATACAAACTACCATTAAGCTTGCGCAGTAAATGTTAAAAATCGTTTCGTAAATTAACATTAAGTACATTAAACGATCACGAAAGGTGTGTAAGGGAAAGTAAAAACTCCGTTAATTGTTTCTTTCGAATAGAACGAAACGGACTATATCCGAAAACACGGACTTCGAAGTATAACGCGTACCTTAGATATATATACATATATATTAATATATACGTGTGTGTGTTATATTAGCACATTAATGATTAATGCGATAGATATTGATCAGGGATGTGACGATATAATAACTTACTGTATTATTATCTCGAGAACGGGGACCAGACACATCGACTTAAGTTACCAAATCTCGCCAACATGGCGGGATTCATAAAAAGTACTTTCGACTAGCTTCGTGTAATCGATTAAGAAGTTTGCGTTCCCTTCTTCGGTAAAAGACGAGGACGATGCATTTAATTGGCCATGATGGCCGATGCACGAAGCCAGACTTTTACGATTTTTCATTTTTCTTCCTAAACTCATAAAATAACGTAAGAACTTCTCATCGCCCCGAATTTCTATTTCCGCTACTTTTCGTTTAACTATTGCCGTACCGTTTCTTCGAGCTCATTCTTCTTGCTTTTCTACCTGAACGTCTACGAATTTCGTTCCGATACAAGTGCACGAATCGCTCGCGGTTATTCTTTCGTTGCGAGCAAAAACATTATTTAAGTATTCGGTTACGTGAGTTCAAGTTAACGAACGAGTTTCCAAAGTGAAAGTGAAATGGCTGGAATACGAAGAAAGTAACGAGAAAATCGCTGCGTTTCACGATACACGATGTGCCGACTGTGCCTCACGAGAAGTCTCGTGAAAGGAATGCTGCGGAGAGTTTATTGGTGACGATCATGTCCACGAATTAGGTTTGTATCAAATTTCAGAATGTACCGTTCGCAGTGACTTCTTGTGAGGTACATGAAAATTGTGATATCTCGGTTTTTTGTTGGAGAAAGAATAAACCGAGCCTCAGAGTTTCGATTCAGAGTACTCAACATTTTTATGAGAATATTCTCTTCTCAACGTTGCGGTTGGTTTCATTCAGGGACCAAATTATTTATTTATCTCTTGATGATTGGTAAATTTGCAGCAATATGGTGATAGCTCCACTTTCTATGTTTCCAAAGTTTTAAATGTCCACGTTTCTATTGTTTTAAACTTTCAAAGTTGCAAATTCTCAATTTATCAATTTCTTAATTTGTAAAATTTTTAAATTTCCAAAATCTCAAATTTACAAGTTTGTAAGTGTCTGAGTTGAAATTTCTGGTTTCTTATTTTTCTAAATCTCTAAATTTCAAAACCCCCAAAATTTTAAATTCAGAAATTCCAAAGTACCTAAATTCCTAAATTTTCAATTTTTCAAGTTTACAAATCTAGAAATTTCAAATCTCTCCACTTCCCGAATCCTTAACCTAACAAACCCTAGAATTTTTAAATTAAAAAATTCCATAATTTCCATATTTCCAAATTTCTATGTCCGTAAACTTGAAATCCCCAATTTTCCAAATTTCCAATTAACCAAATTCTCAAGTTTTCAGTTCATTGATGTCATTAGTTGATTATATTATTTCAAAAGGACTTGATCTTCAAATATTTTATTTTGCATTAACTCAAATTTAAATGATCGAAAAACGTGAAAAATGTAAAACATGAAAACAGTCTCCATATCGCTGCAAGTCTTCCAATATCACCAACATTGCATGAACCTTTTCTGATTTTACAATTTTCTGAATAGACTCAATTTATACCTGGAAATCTCTAGCCTTAACTATATTTATATACAAGTGCAAGTAGCATTTATGGCTGGACTTAGAAATTGATAACGATGAATATCGATAGAAATTTATCCAGTTGCATCGCCTTATCGCCGTAACCGTGCAATCGTCTTCTTTCAATTATATATTATTTATAAATGCTTGTTCGTTCATTCTCTGTGAATTTGATCGTAGTTACATAGACAACAGATAGTTCTAACCATTCCAACTGTTGCGATATCTTTTAACACTTTGAGTACCATGAGTACTACATATAAATTATGATATTTGTTTGTTTCGCTGAAAAATTATGAATTAGGGCTGTTACTAAATTTTTAAACTACATTTTATATTATGCATTTTGAATTACAATTTATGAATTATAAATTAAAAATTACAAATTACAAATTATAAGTTATAAATTATAAATTACAAATCGTAAATTATAAATTATAATTTATAAGTTATAAATTGTATATTATAAATTATAAATTATAAAATATGTATTATTAATTATACATCGTGGATTCTAAATTATAATTTATGTATTATAAATCATAAATCACGGACTACAATTTATAACTCATGGATTCTAAATTCTAAATCATGAATTATAAATTATAAAATTATAAATTATATATTATATATTATATGTTATATATTATATACTATATATTATAAATTATGAATTATGAATTATAAATTATGAACGCTTTTGTTAAATACGTGAAAGCTTGCCCAATAAAAAGTAACAACACATTCTAAAATTAATTGATTAGATTCATTGAAAATTAAATCACTAACTAATTAAATGAAGAAGTTTACTATGATTTTAAAGTGGCACTCAAAGTGTTAATCATGCTACAATATCTAAAATAAGTATAATGGAACTGCAGAGAATTGGTGTCACTTGATCGAAATTGAAACATAAAACGAATCTTCCATTTATCCGTCGTGAAGCACAATAACATTGCTGTTTATATGAGAAAAAAATTATGTTTACGTGTGTCGAATCCTTAGTAACAAATATCATTGTTTCAATTTTTAATCGTGATTGAAATAATGCTTGATTGAAAATTGATCGTTTAAAGTTTAAAGGAGTTTGAAGAAAGAATCAAATCATTTTTATGTGTATTAGTAACAAATATCATTGTTTCAATTTTTAATCGCGATTGAAATAATGCTTGATCGAAAATTGATCGGTTAATGTTTAAAGGAGTTTGAAGAAAGAATCAAATCATTTTTGTGTATTTCATACTATTTTTATTGTATTTAAAGATCATGAAGAGAATTGTGTCTTGTGCGTAACAGTTATTGTGTAATTGTTATAAACAGTGTCTATTGAATTACTAAGGATTTTTAAGCATGTACGTGGATTCAATCGATTTAGCAGAAACTTCTTCGACGATGTTTACATATGCTGAAGATATATAAATTGAAAGAAGAACAAAATATAGAAATTTTGATAAACTTTTGAGATAAATTCGGAAGTTTAAAGCTTGAGAATTCAAAATTTCTATGTTTCTATATTTCCAAGTCACTAAAGGAAAATTTAAGAAATTTTCAATTTGCGATATTATAAATTTTCAATTTTTTATATTTGGAAATTTGGAAATTTGATATGGTAATTTGATAATTTGGCAATTTGGTAATTTGGTAATTTGATCATTTTGAAATTTGGGAGCCTGATATTACTACATTTGGAAATTTCTTCATTTGGTGTTGGTACATTTTTTAGTTTCTACATGCTTCGATTTGTCAATTTCTAGATTTCTAGACTTTTAGATTACTAAACTTCTACCTTTCTATGTTTTTTAATTTCTAAGTTTCTAGGTTTCCAAATTTCTATACTTACAGTTACACAGTTTTCAAAATTTCCAAATTTTTTAATTCTTAAATTTCATAATTTCTAAATGTCTCATTTTATAAATGTCTCAATTTCTGAATTCCTAAATTTAAAAAATTGCAAAATGAAAATTCAAAAATTAAAATATTCATGAACCTATAAATTTATGCAGAAGTGATAAAAGTAGGTAAAAAGTAGAAAATTTGAAAACAATAATATAAAAAATATTAACGTATAAACAATGTAGGACTTGGAATATAAAGAATAGAAATACAATTCTAAACGTCGTCATAGAAGTGTTCATCGATAAAATTAAAGACCGATTATACCCCACTAAATACCATAAGATATAAATAAGTATAAAGAAAAAGAAAAGTGTGTATATATATATATATTCTTGAATTATGTTTTCATGTATCATACATTATGTACGTGTACACACATACGCAGAATTATCTATAACACACATGCGCGCACATGCATATATATGTATATTTTTTAAACGGATGAATTTCATAAGTGACCATATTCTGCATACGATTTTGTATGTAGCCGTGTGTAATTGGACACACAGAGTGGTTGTGCGTAT